AAATATCAAAAATTTTGATATTTCGTTAAAACCACGCGTTAAGCATTAAGCAAAAGAGTAAAATCTTAAAAAAATGTCAGTAAAAATTAATTTTTTACACGAAAATGTTGTAGATCAAACTAAGGATAATATTTCTTCCGCCCAATACTCACATTGTTGACTAGCCTTGAACATCTCTGAGCAAATCGACAGGTCGCCACGCTCTCGTCAAACGCTTCCAAATTAACTGCCACATTAGCGACCATAACCGTCATGCAATTACCCGCCAATGAATCTCGCAAAACCTGCAGAACAAAAATCGCTTCGCTCCGCTAGATATACCTGCTGTTACCGAAGTGAGCAACGAGTTCCGATAAGGGACATGGAACCGCTGCCCGCTCGCCTTCAGTTGAAGACTGTTGATGACTTGCTCGAGGAAATGCAATGATCGATTTATGTACTTCGCTTCTTGCAGAACCTGTTAACTCTCCATTACTCGTGATCTTGCGTACGAAAGAACTGATAGATCCTTAATTGCTATGTTCTGTTATAATATATAACACGTTATATATGTGTTATATACCCCCGTCACGGGGGTATATAACACGGGCCCGGCCCCGTGTGAAAATCGACTAGCAGAAGCTCATACCAATATTTCGTGCTCATTTGAACCGCAAAACGCATAAGATCATGAGCGGTCTTGAACAGATACACTCAGCACGGGGGAAATCAAGAACGAACTGAGCTGAAGTACCCTGAGAATCGCCATCGATATGAGTTTGTGGTTCATACATACGGCAAAACACAACGTTGCTTGTGTACGCGTACGCGATAAGAATCACGCACGTGACGTTAAGTGTCGCCTCAACTTACAACACTTTGTTTGGTGTACCCGTACCATTTACGACTACACATATTATACGTGTGAGGTTATACAGGGCATATACGGCTCTTAGATTCCCCCACGATCCTTCTATTACACCAATAACGATCTACTAGTCCTACATCAAACTAAGATAATGATAATGACTTGTTTTATCTATATGGGCCACTCTTCGACACTTGTGTGTCAACACCGAAC